TTTGTTTATAGTTATTCTGCAGCGGTGTTGCAGAGACGGGGCTGACGTGTACAGGGGTTTGTTCAAGTAGAGGTGGACCGTCCCATTCGAAGGCGTTTCGGTTCTGTCCTTGCACATCAGAACGTAGTACTCGATCAAGTGCACGACGCTGTTGAACTGCTTGAGCCTCGATCTGACGCAGGTGATGGAGTCCAGCCTGAACTTGCCGTCCTGGTACTCGATGCGCAGGTTGGTCGGTCCCGCCGAGGTTTTGACCGAGATGGTCAGCAGATACTCGGAATGCGAACTGTCCCTAACCAAAAAAGTCCCTTCGGGGGCATCCTGCAACCTCTCCTTGGCTTCGGCAACGCTCATGTTGCCCCAGTACCACCCTGGTAAAGGAGGGGAGAAAGCACAGATCGATTTGCTGCTGGCTGTCTGTTTAACAGCCTGCTCCTTGCCCGACAGATCTGCACTAACCCACTTCTTGCGCTGCTCGCAAGCTGGAGTCCTGCAGGCATCGTAAAGTTTTATTTGCCATAGAAAATAATTTGCCTTACGACGCGTTTCCTTTTATCGCGTCCCTCGGGCCGGCGGCTGTTGCTAGACAGTGCGTGCACGACCCCCGGACCCCCCACCCGCGTCCCGTGGAGTCGCTCCGTTCGGCGACACGCGGGAACGGCCCCGCACCGCGTGGCCGCAATGCCCGAGCGGCTCCTCCTGGGGAGAGGGGAGCGAGAGGGCGGATCGCAGGGGCGCTCCCGTCCCGCACCGCGCACCCCTCGGGCGGCGGGCACGGCTCCGGGGATGCCGCCGCTGCCCGCTCCCCGTCGCCGGACCGCCCGGCGATCCGGGCTCCCGCCGGGGCGCGGCGCTGCCGCCGCTTTCGCTTCGGGCGCTCGGAGCCGCCTCCGCGGGGCCGCCGCCGCGCAGCGCCCCGCGCCCGCCCGCCGCTCCCGGCGGCACCTCCGTGCTCCCCTAGCCGCCCCGCTTACCTGCGCGCCGCAGCTCCTCCATGGCCGCCACCAGCTGAGCCGCCTCCCGGCACTCCTCTGCGGCGGGCGCGGCCGCCTCCGCCGCCCCGGGGCTCCCCCAGCGCGGCCCGGCGCTCCCCGCGCTCCGCAGGGACTCGGCGGAGCGCAGGGTCATGGGGGGCGGCGGCGGGTCGGGGACTCAGCGCCGCGCCGGGGGCATGGCCCCGGCCCCGCGGCCGCCGCCGCCTGTGAGCGGAGAAAAGCGCGGTTATAGCGGCGGCCCCGCGGGAGGCGCACCCGGAGCGGTTCCGCGCGGCGCTTAGGGACCGCCCCGCGTTCATAGAGGGACCGGGGAGAGCGGGGTCTCGGCCTGGGCAGCGCCGAGGGTGGGGGGGTTCGGGAGCTCACGCGGGTCTGCGCCCGGAGACCGCCCCGGATTGAGGCGACGCCGGGCACGGTGAGACCTCGAGGAACGGGACTGGGAGCGGCGCGGGGCAGCGCTCGGCGGCTCCCGAACACGCGAGTCGCGGCGCGCCGGGGGCGGGGACGCGGCGCTTTCCCCGCTCCATTAAATTGGGATATCGGAAAAGAAAAATCGCCTTCCCGTCCGCCCGGCTGCGGGGACGGAAAAGCCGCGAGCGACCGCTGCACCGCTGTCACCTCGCGGCCGAGCCGGGGCCGGGCGGTGCCGGCGGTGAGAGGGCGGCGGGTGCTGCGGGGGCTGCGGTGCAGAGCGCAGTGGATCCCTCCCGCCGCACGGCCCGCGGCGAAGCTCCGAAACTTTTCCCGGAGCTGACTTCGCGGCGCCCGGCACTCGCAGGTGTCGCGGGGCCGCAGGCGCAGGTGGGGAACCTCGGGAAGGAGACGCGAAGGGGACGGAGCGGTCGCGAGCCCCCCCCGCCCCGCGCCCGCTGTCGAGGAACGCGCGGCCCCGCGGCGGGCGCTCGGGGTCGGCACTCACCCGGGCTCGGCGGGACGGGGCCTCCCGCGGGCGGGGCGCGGCGCTCGCTCGGCTCCCGGCGGCGTCAGGGGGCCGGCGGCATGGCGGGGCGCGGCGGTGCGGGCGGTGCGGGCGCACGGCGGAGCGCGCTCCCTCCCGCAGCCGGACGGACACAGACAGAGAGGCGGGCGGCTACCGCCGCGAAAGGAGGAGGAGGAGGAGGAGGAGGAGGAGGAGGAGGAAGAGGAGGAGGATCGCGCTCCGGGGGAAGCACCCCCCGCCCGCCCCCTTCCCCGGGAGCGGGCAGGAGCGAGCGCTCCGCGCGCCTTTGATGAGGAGGCGCGGGCATCCTCCCCCCGCCCGGCTCCATACAAAGGCCGCTTTCCAGGAACTTTCCAGGAACCGCATCATGTGACAGGACCCGCTCCGAGCCGCACCGCTCCCGGGCCGCGCCGCTCCGCCGCATCGCCGCGCAACCCCCCTCTCCGCACGGGCCGCCGCTTCGCACCGCGCCGCACGGATCGCGCGGAGACGCAAGGCCGCCGCCGCCGCAGGTCAGCGCCCGCCGGGGAGGGAGGGGGGGGGGGGGGCGGGCAGCGGGAGCTCCGCGGCCGCGGCACCTGAGAGCGAGGGGGGGGGGCGCGGCCTCGGGGCAGGGAGAACCCGGAGGGGGGCGGGGGAGGGGGGCGGTGCGGGCGCGGTGCCGCGGAGCGGCCGCGCGGTGCGGGGTGCGGGGAGGTCTGACGGGGAAACAAAAGGGAGCAAAGAGACAGCGGCCGCGGCTGTGCCGGGCCACCCTGGCGAAGGGTGGGGATCGCCCTCAAATTAACCGCGGTGTTGGGAAGGAGATAATTTTCGGGTCTGAAAGAGGATGGAATCGGGGTTGCATTGGGCCGTTAGGCTTGCTGTAGGCCGGTATCGGTCACAGCAAAATCAGATCTACAAATAGTGCGTGTGTGTGTGGTGGTCTGGTGGGGGG